ACAGCAACTCAGTCTTGAAGGAACAGCAAGTCTCACGTACTCAGGTATATGATTAGAAAGTCTGAAAAATTATAGAAATACCTAAATAAGTCAAACTGGATTGTTATCAATCCTGGCTTAAATGAATTCTGAAATCACAAGATGAATCACAGAGCATGATTTGGTCATTAGTCAATGGCAAAAGCAGTCAATAAAGTTGGGTATGTAGTAGTATCATGTGAAGAATGTGCCTGCAATTCATGTCATCATTAGCTTATTTTTACTACATAAGGCACTGAAGCAAACATATCTGTAAGTAATCAGTAAAAAAGCAGGAGTAGCTCTGCTGACTCCCAGCTACCTGTTCCACTGGGGAAGGTTCTGTGGCAGAGGAGTGTAAAATACATCCCCAGTGTGATTCCTGATTTGAAATCTTCAGCTGTCTCAGTTATTCTGTCTTAAAATCTCTATGTAATTTACAAGGCAGCCACAATGAGACGTAGGCAGAGCTGCTGACTGTCCTCCTCTGAGAAGAAAGGTACTAGCATTGAAAAGCATATTTTTATGCAAAAGGTGAAGTTTGCTGAAACCTGTACCAAAAATATGTTTGGACATAACAAGCCAGAGAACAAATTCTTGGAAATGATGGCCAAGTCATTAGATACACAAAAAAAAATGCGGAAGAGTGTATTCCTTGCGGCTGTTTTCATCGGGGACCGAAAAATGGAAGGTTGGGGAAAAGAAGAGGAAAATGAAAACTATAGAAAATTAATTTATGGACAGAGTCTTCCCTGCTGCACGTGGCAAACTGTGTTGGAGTAGGTGGGTCCTGGCCGTGATTTTTCAGAGGCAGATTGAGCAAACTTCTGCTTTCTTTCTTGTATGTTGAAAGAAGATCTTTTACATTCAGGCATAGATTAAATTTGGAAGGAGTAGGGAAGTGATCTTCTTTGGCAGAGGCAGTGTAGTTTTGCTGCAGAATCTGGCATAAAGTGAAGGAGTCATCAAGCGGCAGAACCCTTTGCCGGCGCTTGCCGTGGAGGAGTTAGAAATGGTTGCGCACTGGGGCAACAAGTCCTGGTTTAACATCTCTGCCAAAGACACACTTCGGAGACCACCGTAATAAACGGGCACAACTGATTGGAAGGTGTTTGGCTGAGTAGGGGGGTTATACCGTAGATGCATAAGTTATTCTTGCGCAAAAAATACCTTTCTTTTTTTTTTTTGTCATTTTTTTCATAACGGTAGAACTGAGTCAGAATCCTCTCTGAGCCATGCAGGGATGACCCTTTCTTCCTAGAAAGGGTCGCTAATTTTAAGCTTTCTGTCTGTTAATAGAAAATCAGAAAATGTTTGCAGACTCCGTGGAGGAAAAGCAGAAAAACAATCGTTTATCAGTGATTTAATTAACGGACGAAAGCATTTACAGGGATTTTGTTTGTTTGTTTCACGCTTCATTTCCTGCGGGTGCAGGGCAGCTCCGTCGCAAGCAAATGGGAGCCAAACTGGTGGGGCCGGTCCCCACTGGGACACCCCCACACCCCCTCCCCCC